ATCGGGCTCCCTGCTCAGCAGGGAGTCTGCTTCTCCCTCTGACCCTCCCCCCTCTCATGCTTTCTCTCTCTAATAAGTAAATAAAATCTTTAAAAAAAAAAGAAGTCAGAGAACACCTAAGAAATCATCCTCTTTACATTCACGGATTTTTTTCAGTCTGATCCTGTGTTGCTTCATGACTTTCTCACTTTCCAAGTACAGCTGCAGGAGGAGGGTTCCAGAGACAAAGCACAGATAAGGCTATACTTGGAAAACTTAGAGAAGACCCTGGTACACGTAAGAATGTGCTTTGGGGCACCTGGGTGGTGCAGTTGGTCAAGCGTCCGACTCTTGATTTCAGCTCAGGTCATGATCTCAGGGTCATGAGATCGAGCCTGGTGTCGGGCTCTGTGCTCAGCACAGTCTGCTTGAGGTTCTCTCTCCCTCTGGCCCTCCCCCTGTGCCCTCTCTAATAAATCAATAAAATCTTAAAAAATATGCTTTGTGCAGCATATGCAAAACAACACATAACAAAGAATAAATAAAGAGAAAGCAAAACGATACCTATTACCAAGTATAAAAGCTAGAAGTTGATCAGGTCACTTTTTATAAAATCTGTAAAAGCACTATACTTGGGAGACACAAACACATTCCAAATCCCCAAAAGTACAGCCGGCAACAGGAATACTCATAGCCATGGCAGCGGGTAACATGCACCGCACGCACTGAATGCGCCAGGCGCTGTGCTAAATACTTACCGTGGGTTCTCCCTTTACGGTTGGTAGGCTGTGGATGGTCAAAGAGTAAACAGTTTTAAACTTACCAATGTGCAATCTAAATGCATATTTTCTTTTTAAGTCGGTGATCACAGATTTCTCCTCTGGGTATCTGTCTGCGTACAGCAGTTTGTCTGCATTCTCAATTCCTGTCAGGGATAGAAATTCTTGCACGTTTTTCTCTAACTGCTTGTTTTCCTTTACAGAAAACTTGCCAAATCTAATAGCGACACCTAGGATTTGGGTGGGGAGAAAAAATATGTATTGTCAATAAGGAACAAAAGCAAACCTACCATCTGGTCTTCAACAGTTATAAGACAGTGGCTTGCCAGCTTCCCCCTGCTGGGAACAGCCCCAGCGGTGTACTTGTACTTGCTGTTAGCTCCCCTGCTGTGCACGCCCCACCCCCCAACTTCACTTCCCTTAGAATTCAGCTCAAGCCACTCTTCTCCCAAAGTCTTCCCTGGTCATCCCCTTCCAAAGTGACCTTCCCCATTTATCACTCAACTTTTGAAAGTAGTTGTTTTTTATATTAAAAAGGAATATATGTTCATTAAAAATTCAAGCAGTATGGAAATAAACATTTAAAAGAAGCCTCCCCTTTGCTCTCTTCTGCCTCGCTCCCCCCCCCGCAAGGCAGTGCTGTGAACTGGCAAGAACTCGAACATTCACATATATTTTCTATGCATATGTATGGGGGGTGGGGGAGCAATGGCATCATGCTTTACATTCTAGTCCTCTTTGTAGCTCAAAGCAACCAAGTTTTATTATGTACTGACGATCTTATATACTATGTTTTTCTATTCTTAGACTTAAAGAGTACCTTTTATAAAATACAGTCATAAACATTTCCACAGAAAATACACAAATAGAATGGGACCATTCTATAGATACTGCTCTATTTTGAATTACATTTTTCTTCCTTAATTTGGCTATTTTTTAAAACTAATCTCTTGGGGTGCCTGGGTGGCTC